GCATTGAAAAGGACAAAGGGAAAGATAGTCTTGGCCTTTCATCTTTATTTCTTACCTGTTTTGAATGCTCCCTTCTGACAGTTTAGCACATAGCACATAATTATTTCGTACCAGCATCTATCACAGTAGCCAAGTATCTTCCCCCTTGAGCAGAATTTTAATCTGTTCACTTTCTGTACTACTTTAATTCAGTTCTGAAATGTATGCCAGAAATATATTAAGCAGCTTGATTAGCATTCATCATATGTGGTTCTGTCTTTCTCAAAGTTATATGAAAGTTTTAATTATATCTTTTAATCTTATGTCTGTTTGTTATCTTTTCGTGGATGTGACTGCTGTATATCTTGCAGATGGAACAGAAGGGGGTTGTTGGAGGTGTCACTTTAATCTGTAGAGGCTGCATTTCAGGTTTTGTTAACACTGTGAAGAGCTCTGACTCTTGGTCTTACTGGGGATCAGTTCCATCACCAACCCTTCTTCCTGCCCCCAAGCTTAAAAGGTTTTCTTTTCCAGTTGTCCTGAACCCACATAGTTGAGTAGAAGCGTCAAGTCTTTCAATTGGGCTTACTCATTAGGGAGTATGGTAAGCTGTGAAGAACATGTTTACTTTGCTTATAGTAACTGGTTTTGCTAGATAGAAATGTCATATTATTGAGTTTATGCTAATATTGTGCTAGGTAAACATCACTTGATGTTTATGCTCATATTGTCACTAAGTAAGCGTCTGTTGCTGAACTCTGTCAGCAGTGTTTCTCAAGGTGGAATTCCACAGATTTCTCCTCACTACTTGGACACTGATGCTCAGGAAAAGATGAAACTTCCTAAGAAAGTTTGGTGGAAATAGCTTAAGAGGTTTAAAAGTTCTGAGAAAGGGAGTGACATAAAGAAAAGAGGGAGAAAATGGGAAGGATGGACTGACAGGCTGCTTAGAATGATTAGGGTTTTCCTGTTGGTGAGATCACTGGTAGGCAAAACTGAATGATGATGATTTACAGAGGTGGATTTAATGTGCTGTGAAAAAATTCACTCTGACATGGCCTTTTCCTAACTCAGAGCATGCTCCTAGTTTGGACCATTTTACTGAGTATGTTTTACTGCCTCTTAATGTTTTAATGCCTGGTTTCTAAAGCTGATTCACATCTCCCTCAAACACTGTCAAGGTCAATATGTAGTGGTGAGATTTTACTTGTCATGAAGTTAGTCCAAAGTAGATGCAGTTTTGTGCTCTGCTATGACTTAGGGAACCTGTGTAGATTTAATAAATTTTATTTGATACTGAGGGTCATAATTTTTTTGTCAGACTGAGAAGTCCAGAATCTCAAGGCTTCTTTGGCGTGTGGAAAAGTTGAATGTTTGCAGAAGGAAGAACATAAAATAGCATTATTTCTCTTGTTAACTGTAACTCCCTCCAGGTAATGTCTCACCTCCCTCTTACTCCTTTCAGCCAGCATGGCAAGCTGTGCTGTGCTCTCTAGGAATTATGCTGACTTCTGCTTTTACTCACAAAGGGATCAGGTTTGGCCCAGCCTGTTTTCTGTCAAGGGAAGGCTAGAAGCACTAATTTGTTGCTGAGCAAAGGTATTAAGGAGCAGGGGAGGAGGGCAAATGCATGCAAAGTCCTGTTTGCATCCAAAGTTACCAAGTGCACATCTGAGTCCTGCTGGTTTTGTACCTGTTGTTTTTTCCTCAGCCCTCCCAAAAACTCCTTCTGAAGATTTGTCCTATTTTAGTCTCAAATTGGATTTTTCTTTTTTCAAGATGGGGAGAGAAAACACATTTATTTTCATGGCTGAGGAACTCTCAGCCAGCTCAGGCTGCTGGCATTTGGGATTGGGCTGGGAGGAAGCACTGAGCTGATGGGCAAAGTTGTCCTCCATGGGTGCTCACTCTCCTAAGGAGCACTATCAGCCAGTCTGACACTTTCAGTAAACATGAAGTAGGTAGTCTCCTTACCTGCACTGGAATTGAGACAACTCTCCCTGTGCAGAAAAGTTTTGTGATACTAAGGTGAAAAAACAATGGTGTGTGTATGTTTTGTTTTGCCTTTTTTTTTTTAAGCATAGACATTTTTCTCCTTCCTCTACAATGAAGATTATGGAAAAATGCTCCCAAGAGTAATAGGGATAAATAAGAACAAAGAGAAATGGTCTAATAAGGCAGTGACTTCCCACAACTGTGTTAAATGCTGTGAAATGACAAGTCGTAAAGACTAATTCCTAACATGAGTGTTCTTGGAGCAGTAAGGGCTAGGACACACATGGTTTGTTTGTAATAAGAGAATACACTGGCATTGCTTCAGGAAATACTAATAACTAAGCCATTAATAAAGAAGAATTGCGATATAATTAGATGTCTTTAAACAAACAGTCTTTCCCCAAATAAACAAACAGACACACACACACAAAAAAAACCCTTGTACAGTCGCAGGGCTGGAAGGGTTGGACTTGAAAATGAGGAGGCAGCTCCAAAAAACCCTCAAGTCAAAGCACAAGAATAGATTCAGGGTGCTAAAATAATTTGTGCTGTTTTGAATGTTGTTTGGAGTTCTGAAAAGTTTCTTTACAGAGAGGGTGTTAGTCTGTGAAAACACCTCCCCAAGACCCAGAATCTTAGGATATCACCTCCAATCTCTAAAGTCTCTACCTGTGTGAAGCCTGCACCGTGCTTTGTTTAGACTTGCTGATCTCTGAAAAATGGAAAGCCTCAATTTTGCTAGCTTCACCTCAGTTTACCTGTATCACCAGACAAGGTTGTAAAAAATGTAGAACAAAGATGTAGTAGGGAAACATATAAAGGTAAACTTCTAATTATGTGTAGAAATGAAGTTAGCATATGAGACTGAAATATGAAACTCAATTCTGGATTACAATTAACAAGACTCCTTGGTTACTGGCTGCTCAGTGCTCACCATCTGAAGCTAGATGCTCCTTCAGGAGCATTTGCAGAATCTCTGGACCAGCCAGGATTGTCTCTTTTGGAATTGGCCAATTGCAGTCTTTTAAAAGAATCCTGCTTCCTTTCAATACAGACAAAATATTTGGGGCTTAAATGTAGTCTTGCACCTTTCAGTAGTGAAAATACTCCATATATCTTCTAAACTGCTCACCTTTCTATCCTAGTAGATGGGTTTGTGTTTTTTTTTTGTGCTAGCTTTAAACAGATTTTCCAGATCTATCTAGCGTAGTGTAAGTGTCCAGTGACATACTATGTTTTATGAAGGCTGTTAGCTGTTAATGTGTGGCAGGTTTTGGTCTCTGTCCTTTGGTATGGTCTCAGCCATATGTGGAGACCTTAAATGATGCACTGACATTAGAAGTACCAGGGGGTGCCTAGCTCAGACTGCTTTTCTCCTTCTTATAATTTACAGTTTAGACCCCCTTATGTCAAAGTGACCCACTCGCTCTGGTGAGGGCTGGGAAAATACATGGTACATTTGGTAATTTAGAAGTGATATAATTGTCTTTGATTTTGACTGTGGATAAAAAAATAAGAGTGAGAGAAAGCACTCTTTGTTTTAGTGAGATGTAAGACCCTCTGACCTTGTGTGCATTATGGGTATTGCTTCTGTATGTTGAAGCAGAAATGGATTCTTACGTACCCATAGGTAAATGAGGAAGGAGGAAAAAAATGTAAAGATTAGGAGAAAACAGTTCAAATTCAAGAGGCCAAATGGAGGTAACGGAGTAAAAAATACACCCATTCTTTGAAGAAAGATGCATAAATCATGCTACGTAGAATGTCTTCTTGAATATGCCAAGAAGGTACTATGAAGAGTCAATTATGGAAGCATATGTAAAAACCTGTGTATGCAAGCCTGTATCTAAGAAGTAGAACTTTATAGAGAATTGGTGGGTTTGCAAAACTTGAATGAGAACCATCCAGAAGGACCCAGATATTGTGAAGAGAATATTTGCCCAGTTTTCACCATGCTGAATGTTAGAGTGATGCCTGCTCTTCTGGGTGCTTAATAAAAAATGCACCTATTTCTAGATAGGACATTAAACCAAGCTGATATGTTCACAAGCAGCAGTTAAGTCAGATTAATATATTTCCAGAAGAGCTGGAGGAATTTAAAAGTGAAAGCTGATGCTAAAATTATTTATTGAAATTATGAAGTCTTGGACATGGAAGGCAAGGACTGTCTTCCAAAGTGATGCTCTCAGATCTGCTGAGAATAATTGACATCTGTCTTGCTCTGGAGTATCTGATATTAGCTGCGCAGATAAAATAATTAAACTAACGGGATCACTGATCAGTCTGACAGTTTGTGCATTAAGGAAGAAACAAGCCTGAACAATAGGAAGTGGAACATTCTTGTGTTTTGAGTTAATCTTGTTTAACTAATCTTGTTTTTCAGCATGTGGTAGCAGGAACAGTTTATAGAAATGTGCTTTCAGAATGTTTTTATGACTAGCTCCAGAAATATTAATTCTTTTTATCTATCTAAAGCAGAAAGCTGTATAAAATGAACTGGGATTGAATTTTTGCTTGGTATAGAATGTTAGTAAGATTCCAGAGAGAGCATCATAAACATCAATTTTGAAAGTCACACCTGACCTTCTGTCTTTTAGAAGTGAAAGGATGTTCTTCTTTCTAGAAACAAAATTAAAACCAGAGGCATTATGTTCTATGTAGAATACTCTATATGTAAAAGCAGTATCTGATGGGAAATTGCTAGTGGTAGATGAAATTTTGTTCAGAAATAATCAAACTCTGAATTAGAAAGATGATTGGATTGCTGTAATGCCTGCTGGGCTTTCCTTCTGCATTATATATCTAAGATTGGTGCTGTGCATGAGGTACTGTAAATGCATCTGGTGTTTCTGGTAAAACACATCAGTCTGTGACTTTCACAAGGAAAACGTGAAAAGAATCTTTTATCACACTACGATCACATGTTCTAATATTTATTTGAAACTTGGGATTTAGATATGTTTTAAGATAATAAAAAAGTTGTTGGTTTTGGTTTGTTTTGTTTTTTTTTTATTTTAACTTTATAGGCTTGCTGATGCATGGGAAAATGATATTGGAGTTCATCCTTTAAAGTTTCCATCAGAAACATGTTTGGAATTACTGCTGATACTCTGTCTGAGTACCACCTCTCTGCCACCTTCACTTCGATGCATGAACTCTTTTCAGGTGAGGAACAGCTGCTATTTCAACATAAAGGTGTTACTTCTAGGAAAAAGAGAGATCTCTGGGGCCCATAAACCTTTTCAGAGTAAAGGTTTGTCTTCTGTAGTTGCATTACTCTCCATTATATTAAATATAGCAATGGAAAACTTCTTGTAGAGTTCTGTTTGTTTCAATTGTATTAAATGCAGACTGAGGCAGGAAATGTCATTGGATTTTTGAACAGTGAATCTCTGTTTAAATTAAATTAGATGTTTAAAGAAATTTCATGAAACTTAGGCTGGAATAGATAGAATCATTATACAAAATCTTGTTGGCTTAAGAAAAAAATCCTCTGCTAAAAATAAAGATTTCCTGTGGCAAAATCCTGTAAAATTAGGAGTGAATCATTCACAATTTTGTCCAGTGTTCTTCTGTGTGTTACTGCTGAAGGTCTCGGCAGTCATAGAATTTCTCCTAAGAAAACACTGTTGCACGCATGTTAAATTGTGATTTGTGTTTATCATGTGTCTGAAGACATTCAATTTTTACAAATGAAATACACAGACTTCTCAATTCATGATGGTATGATATAAAAACTCAACCTTTTTATGGTGCTTGTCTTCCCTTGTAGTTACATAGTCCATCAGTTGTGTACTGATGGAAATTTAAGGCTGTTGAGCAGTACGCATATCTGAAACTGTGTTTGTTTTGACAGCTACAGAAAAATCATCTTAGTGGGACTGAGTGTCTTAAACAGTTTATAGCACAAAATCTGTTAGCTTCTATTTGTCCATACTCCCAGTTAAGACACATTTAGTTAGTGTCCCTGAAGTATATTTACTGAAAAATAATCTTACTGCAGAATTTTGGAGCAAGAAAGAATATGGTCATAAACCAAAATCAAGTAATTGGTTTTACTAGAGTTACACCGATGTACAACTGCTGAAAAGATGCCAAGATGTTAGGAAAGAAGTATGGACCTGCGTTGTCTGCTGCCTTTGCATCTTGTGAGCTTGGGAACAGCAAATCTGTGTATGGTGAACTATTGGCAGCAGCCATTAGCGTTTTGACATGATACTTTAATATTGAAGGTCAGAACTGTTACTGGGTTGTACATTCAGAGGCCATAAAATTGAAGAATCACTTGGATGCTGGCAGAATGAGATCACAAAAATTACAGGTTTCAAGGATTAGCCAGTACAAGTTGTCAACCTTTCCTGTTAAGAAGTGAGCATTTTGGTTGTTTAATCCGGGAGAGTGTACTCCTTGTTCATTACATTGCCAGTTATCTGTGGTAAAGTTTTCTCTTCCTTATCCACAATAGGATAGCATACGCTGAGGTTGTATGTCCTGTCTTGTTTCTGTTCGTACTCAGTCCCAGATTGTACAATAAGGCTTTCCTTTGATTTGTTATATCTGGGTAGAGATAAGAAATGATAAATGACTGTCAACTGCTCAAGATATGAATCAGTACATTCAGGAACGAGTTTACTTCAACCTACACAAAACACTAGGCTTTTCTTTTTCCTTGTCATTCTCCCATGATTGTGCTTGATTGCTCCTGGGTCATTTTAGCTTCATGAGCCTGCCTCTGGAAACGAGCTGTTGCCATAGAAGCCCACCATGCATGTCGTGGAATCAAGTCAGGAGTAGGGTTATGTCATTCATGGGGCATGAGGTCCCCATGCATCCCCTAGAGATCCTCTGACACAGCCTTTCAAACTCAAATTTCAGTGGAACAGCTGAAAGGAAACATCACAGTGCTTTGCTAAATTGAAATAGTGTGTGGGACAGCTTCCAGATTTCCAGCAGTGGCCTGTGCAGGTCTTGGATTGCCTGCCTGTATGGCAATGTAGGTGATGTGACAATGTCCACTCCTGGCTGCGAACATGTTTTCAGGCAAAAGAGACTACATTTTGAGGTGATTCCCAGTGTCTTGTGTTTTCATAGCAACACAAAAGGCAAAAATTCATTTCTGAAAAGCACAAGGTCTGAAGCCCACTCTGCTAAGGGAATGTTATATTTTGCCAAGTGGGAGGTAAGGAAAATGGCTGTTTTGATAAACTTCTGGCTCCAGTTTTCACTCTCCTTGCCAGACAGTCAATATCACAAAATGTTTGTCCTGGAGGGCAAACACTGTCCAGGAAAATATTGTTTTATTTATTTTTATCCTTACAAGCCTTGTTTGGATCTCAGCGTGTGAATTCATGAAGCAGAAACAAAGTTTGCCCAAGCTTTTCACTGATCCTTTACAATGATCTGTCAGCCTTACCAGTTTGTTGTTTGGGTTTTTTTCCTGGCTTATTTCTTTGTACTCAGGTTCACTTTCTATACAGCAAATATTAGAATTACATGTCCTAGTTTTTCATTATCTTTCTTACAAGAAGTTGTCAAGGTCTGTAGAAAGCCTGAATAATGATATTAAATTGTGCTGTTGCCTGAGCATAAGATCCCTCTGGATCCAAAATACTGAAGATTGTGAGTCAAACAGAGAATAATAAAAGGCCATTAATTGAAAACTGATATTTCATGTGTCTTAATGGAGTAATGGCAAAATGACAAAAATGGTTTTTATTTTGTGGTAGACCTAGACCTCGCAGTTGTCTAGAAAAAAATTAAAACATTTTAATTCTGTATTACAATAATGCTTGTATTTGAACTGAAAACAATTGCACAGTTTCCCATTATCCACACGTGGCAGTCTTGTCCATCAGGAGGCCAGGCTCTCAAAGCTGAATGCTGGCCTCTGAATGCTAGGGGAATTAGAAGGAAAATGACCCCAGAAAGTGCAGAGTTCTCTCCTTTCATAAGTGTTCCCACTGTTGGACACATAGTATCAAGCTAAATGGACCACTAGATTCCACTGACACTTTGATTTGTGTTTTGATACAGTATTTGAAAATGCATCTAACAGGCAGCTGTATATGTACTGTTCTAAAAATTCCAATATGGTATCAGTATAACTTTAAAAATTCCAGTTGTTTTTAACTAGGTAGCCAAAAATGATCCTGCCACACTCCTGTGTTTTTTGAGACTGTATTTACCCTCCCTCCGCATTATACTACAATATTGAGATTTGACAAGCCAGAGTTTTAGTTGGTGTATATATACGGACTGCATGATGTTTAGGTTGTAAAAAGCACATGAAGGAAATGTTCTTAGTTGCTAATCATCTCTGTAATAAACTCTGTTCTGCTTCGTGGTCTAGAAGTGCTCTCTGGGACTAGCTTAGCAGACACTGTATCTCTGCTGAGACATAAATTACATTTTATTTTCCAGTGGTGTGCTACTGCTTAGTAACATAATATTTGAAATCACTTTTCAATTCCGTTTTGACCCTGTGAAAATCTTTCAGTGTGATTTATGTTCCTGGAGGAGCCTGGAAGAGAGGAGGAGCAGCTGACTATATTACTTGGCTCTTCTGAGTTTAAGTTGCTCACTGCAGCAAGCTTTTAAGCTTCCCAGGATGCTGATCATTGGTACTAGATTGTCTTTGGCTCATTGCTCATTTTACCTGTGCAGTTACACTGACATCGTTCTGATGTACTGTAGAGCGTTAAATCTCAGGAAGCCTGAGCCTGGAAACTCTGAGCGACCAAAGTGGATAGACTAATTCTTGCTGGTTGATGGCTGCCCCTGGATTTACTGGAGACCATGGATTTGCAGCTCTGACTTGCACCTTCCCAAGCTTGTAATCCTTCACCCTGGACTAAGGGAGTCTTAGATCAAGGGAATAGGGTTCACTGAGGCTCTTGATGTTAATCCTGTAGCAATGCAGAAAGCTGGAAGAAGGGAGAGAGGAGTTCACTACTAGAAAAAAAATAAAACATTTTTTAGCTTGCCTTTGCTATGAGCATTGTTTTGTTGCTCTCTCTTCAGGTCCATTAAACTACACAGGAAGCTGTTACCTCATTATATTCTTCATCTGTCTGGCTCTCCACCCACCTGAGCTGTCAGTCGTTTGCTTTAGCACCAGTTGGGCTCGACTGTGTGTATTATTCTTAATACTTGCAAGCACTTGTAACTAGCACCCACTTGACTTATCATGTACTTTATCACTGAACTGTTCAGCTGCTACTCCTCAACGCAGTCTGTTGGTATTTTAAAGCCTACAACACAGAACAGTTAACACGGGGAGATGCTTTAAAGTGACAAGTAATTTCTGCTGTGTTTTGCTAACCTTATCTCTTCTTTCTTTGAATTCAAGCACAGTGAACAGAAAATGTCTTGGATATTGAATTCTTATGATGATATATGAGGCTGTTCTGAACATTCTCTCTCACTGTCATTACTGTGGGAAACCAAGCATTTTACTTCCTGTATCAAGGCACTATTCACAAGGCCACAGACTATAACAAGAGTTCTCAGAGTTAAATAAATAGTGGTTTTATTTTTACTTTTAGAGTTGTATGAAACTGAAAGAAGATTGTGATTGAGAGCTGCTGGGCAGTTTCAAAATTTCAGTTGAAATAGTCCTTGATATTCTTTGGTGCTGCACCCAATGCCACTTTGTGCATGCTGTCCACTTTAGTTAAGAGAAGCAGAGCCAGTGTTTAAGAAAAAAACCAAAAAGAGCTCATTCTGTTGTTGCAGTGAGCATTCCTAGAGGTGTCTGTGAAGGAAAAACTCATTTGCAGTTACTTTGCTTCCAAAAAACGGAGGGAAAAAAAGAAGGTTTCTCGTAGAGCAGCATGTCAAGTTCTGTGTCATTCCTAAAAGCAACAGGTTTATACATACAAAGTAGCAAGTTGCTCAGGAAACATAAGACTGAATAAATACCGTATTATTCTAGTTTAATGGCTGTACTATGTGTGTCTCAAAAGTATTCAAAAGGCTCATGGAAGGCAGAATACAAAATTACTGCTGTCTTTCAGGTCTGTACATGATCTGAGCTAAAGTGTCTTAATATTCAGGGTTTTTTTACTATTGATACTTTTTTGGTTTATGTGTGCATATGTTATACATATATAGAGAGAGTAATTTCAAAGTTGTTTACTGTAAAAAGTGGTTTGCTGTAGAGGACACTTGCAGATGTACATGTCCGTTCTGATAATCCTTTCTGAAGTGAACACCTGAGTAAAATTTACATAAATCTGCTCAGCTCCTCCTTTAGTTTCTGTTCTGGGCATTTGGAGCTGGAGAAGTCGCACAGGTTCTTTTAGGTAGGACTCTGCTCCTTTGGAGCCCTGTCGAACAGCAGCAAAGACAGGAGGAAGAGCTACTTTGGTTAAAAGTGATTTGAGAAATAGTGATTTAAGAAATGAAAATATCAAGAGGGAACAAGTGGCTTTCAAAGTACTGTGTCTTTTACTAAACTGTCGGAGAAAAGTAACGGAGTCCATTTATGCAGTAAAATAACATGTTTTTAAACATTTTTTAAGATGATGCTCTGTATTACTTGCTTACTGAGCATCACAGATCATACATTTGAATATGTATATTCTGTAGTGTGTTTGAGACAATAACTGAGATCCATTTAGAATTTTTTATTATTTTTTTTCCACAATTAGGGATTTTCTTCAGTATTTCTCTGAAGCTTGTGGACTTCTTAAGTCTCTGAAACTTCTTAATGAACACCGATAGTAACATGGCGAAACGGCTACAAATACGTTGCAGTCTCTGCTGTAATACAGTCATTTTCCGTTTGTTTAATTTCATATTTTTTTCCCTTAACTGATCTGTTTTACAAAATGTAAAGTATGGTGAGGAAACCAAGTGCGGTTAGTGTCAGCCTCTTTTGGCTACTCCTATTTCCCCCAAAATAAAGGTGTTTTGATTTTTGCAGATTAGTATGAAAGTGCCTGCTATGTGCTTTTTTCTAGTTTTAACTAACTTTAACTAACTTTTAACTAACTTTTTTCTAGTTTTAACTAACACAGATAGGTTGCCAGGATGACATAGGATGGCTTAATTTTCTGTTTTATTGTGATAATTATGTGGAATTTTTTATTTGATTTCAAACAATTTATATTCAATAGGAAATAAGTACCCAAGCCTTATATAAGAAAGCAGTTGTAGTTTTCTAAACTACGCATAGTTTTCTAAACTATGCATCCAAGTATTTCATTGACTAAAATGAAAGAAGTTGTAACATGTATATTTTGGAGTCTTGATTGTGTTAGTCTGCATTTACTAAAAGCCATAATAAAACTATACAAACACTTCAAAATAATTTGGAAACAAATATGGGATTATATTGAACAAATACGGAGAATAGCAAATGATATTAAGAGAGTTAGTGTTTCAAAGGCAAACCTAAATACTTCTTTGCAGAATGATAGAGATGTCTAGGTTTCAGTTAAGAGATTTTTTTATTTTTCTTGTCTGCTACTTAATTCTCCTATATAAGTTGGATTTTTATTATGCCATTCAGGTTATCTTACTTTGTGTTCACTGTAAGCTATCTTCTTTTAAAAGTATCTCTAGAGTGGTCAGTTGTATTTCTTGAACAATGAGACTGTCCACTTACAGAACCATAGAATCATAGAGTTGTTTAGGTTGGAAAGGAACTTTAAGAGTCCCCTTGAGCTTTCAGGAATGGGAATAATTATTTTTGTACTTAATTATAATCAATATTTTTAAGTCTTTGTTGAGCCTGTGCTAAAAATGTTTCATACTTACTGATTCAGAAAACTTTATTAAGTTTCCCACGGGGTCACATCCTCCTTTGGGCACATCCCTCTGATCCAGCAGGGTGTCCTCCATGGGCTGCAGGGGCACGGCCTCCCTCACCATGGTCTGTGACAGGGGCTGCAGGGATATCTGCTCTGATGCCTGGAGCACCTCTTCCCTCCTCCTTCACTGATACTGGTGTCTGCAGAGCTGTTTTTCACACATATTCTCACTCCTGTCTCCTGGCTGCTGTTGCACAGAAGTTTTTTCTCCTTCTTAAATATGTTACTACAGAGGCACTACCACTGTTGCTGATGGGCTCAGCCTTGGCCAGTGGTGCCTTGGAGCTATTTGGCATTGGCTCCATCAGACATGGGGAAAACTTCCAGCAGCTTCTCACAGAAGCCACCCCTGTAGCCCCCCTGCTACCAAAGCAGTCATTTACTATTAAAACATGAAAGTACAATTGATTGGAGAAATCCAGTTTAAATAGTCTGGTGTAGTCCATGTTATTAACCATTTGAAAGAGGTGAAGACAGAATCATAGAATCATAGAACCATAGAATAGTTAGGGTTGGAAAGGACCTTAAGATCATCAAGTTCCAACCCCCCTGCCTTTGGGCAGGGACACCCCACACTAAACCGTGCCACCCAAGGCTCTGTCCAACCTGGCCTTGAACACCACCAGGGATGGAGCATTCACAACTTCCTTGGCCAGCCCATTCCAGTGTCTCACCACCCTTAAAGAACTTCCTCCTTATATCCAATCTAAACTTCCCCTGTTCAACTTTTAACCTGTTACCCCTTGTCCTAACACTACAGACCCTAATAAAGAGTCCCTCCCCAGCATCCTTATAGGCCCCCTTCAGATACTGGCAGGCTGCTATGAGGTCTCCATGCAGCTTCTCTTCTCCAGGCTGAACAGCCCCAACTTTCTCAGCCTGTTTTCATACAGGAGGTGCTCCAGTCCACTGGTCATCCTTGTGGCCCTTCTCTGGACTTGTTCCAAGAGTTCCATGTCCTTTTTATGTTGATACCAGAACTGCACGCAATACTCCAGGTGAGGTCTCACAAGAGCAGAGTAGAGGGGCAGGATCACCTGTTCGACCTGCTGGCCACGCTCCTTTTGATGCAGCCCAGGATACAGTTGGCTTTCTGGGCTGTGAGCGCACACTGCTGCCTCATGCTCATTTTCTCATCAACTAATTAGAACTAATTAGGAATGAAAATGCCTGAGTAATACAACTCATTTTATATCCTTTTTGCTTCTATTGTGAACGTTCTGCTTTTCCTAAGTAATTTTGAAATCTAAAAGTGTAGCTGTTACATCCTAATTATACAGTACTTGTGTCTATAATGTGCTTTTAAACACAAACTGAAAGTTTGCATTCTTTATCAACAGGCACCACACTGTGAGTCTGTTATGGAAAGAGGCCAGATAAATACCCATGTTTTATGTACCTGAATATATACATAAAGAAGTCTTAAGGGAGGCCTGATACAGTTTTAGAACATACATTTGTGTTTATTAATTGATGCTGCTGTCTTTTACGACTGAGTAACAGAAGAAATATTTAGCCTTTTGAACAACTAAATAATGCTGTGCATGTTCAAAATAGGTTTTAGGTAATTTATTTAGCAGCTCTTTAGGGCTGCTTCCTTCCAAAACCTTTGTTTCTCTAAGTTAGACTTAGCCCTATCCTGGTAATATTTAATAGACTGACTTATGTAAGCAGTAAGCTTCAACCTCCGAGCCAACAAAGTACAGAAGTCTGGTTATCAGCTTCATAAAGGTAGATGTTGCTTTGAAAATAATACTAAGGCATTGGATATCAATGATTCTATAATGGAAATTTTTCATTGAGGTTTCTGTTGTTATGCTGTGTGCTTTGTGAATGGGTGTTGCTATGCAAGCAAGCTATGATGCTGTTTATGTCCGTTAAGAGTCTGGATGGAAGCTTTGAAGCTACTGAAGTCCAGAAAGCTCTGCAGAAAAAAAGGCGCATTTGTGAGGGTGCTTCTTAGGTTTACAGGTGGTTTAAAAATGGATGGATTCAACCCTATTGGATTTCAGCTGTAGGCTGGAGTAGGTATGATGTTATCACAGACTGCAAAATTTTGAGGGATCCTAAAGGAAGATGTCACTGAATTCTAGCACTGTATTAGCAGATGTGGCAGCTTGCCAAGGCACTTAGAGCAGCTCAAGAGTGTTATGTGTTAAAGAGCTGGAAGCAGTAACGATGTCTTCAAGGAGACAAATGGACAAATATACAGAAGTCTGCAAAGCCAGAGCATAATAATTGAATCGATGACTTGACTATGATAAAGTACATGGTGGATGAAAAGGAAGAGGGTTGTTAAGTTCTCCTTTTTTTATTGTCAGTTGAAAATGAGTCTGGAATGGATCTTTTGGTGAAGTCGTCAGTAATGCCTCCAGTGAGAAACATACAATTTGCCTTCCCTTAGAAATAGAAGTCCATCATTCTGATGCGATGTCAGTGAAGAGAGCAGTGTGCTCTAAATCTCTGTGCTTAAGTCACAGGTCTTTGATCTGTGGGGGGAATGGCTGATGACAAATGGTAGTGCTTGAAAGCTCTTGCTTGTTAAGGAAGAAAACTTTAGGTTTGGATTTTAGGAAAGCTAGAATAGGCAGAAACACTGCATGGGGAAACAGGTCAGATCACTGTCTGCCCAGAGGCAGGGAAAGACCTGAAGGGGAGTGTAAAACTAGCTACTCTTGCAATAGGTGGTGCTGATCCCATTGACAGACACCAACACAATTCTGGCTATAAGAAGGGCAGGATTATTTCCATCATCTCTAAGTTGCTTGCTGCTTTGAGCATTAAAAGTGATCACTTGTGTGAATATTTGTACTATAGCTCTACTACTTTTGAATTAAAGGAAACTTCTACACCTGGGTGTGTGAAGAGGTATCTCAGTGTGTACATCTTATAGTGCTCCTAAAATCAGATTTGGAATGCTGCTGCAGGAAGAAGAAAGAGAAGGGCAAAAGGGTGTGTAAGCATTAACAAAACTACCAAAATAAGGCGACCATTTTGCCTTCAACAAAAAGACTATTATGCCTTGAGGTGAAACCTGGCAACCATTTAACAATATGTAGAAAGACTTGCAGGAATTGGAAGATGCCATAGCCAAGTGAGGTCACAGGGAGTGTTGGGTGGGCAGAATGTGATTGCTGTTTGGATTTTTGCCAGGCATTCTGGTTAATGTTTCTTTACCTCCCAGCGGCTTGACAAGTAAAACAGGAAGTGATTCTGCTTATGGAAAAAAATATAAAAGATATTAATCCCATATCGCTAACATAAACTATAAAAGCATAGTGTATAGAGAAAGAGACTATTTTAAAATGCCACTTCCCAGACTTCATTATTTTTGTGAGCTGTGGCATTGTGAATTACTGGAATAGATCAGGGAGCTATATTCCTTCTGTTGCTTTTAGTGAACTTGAATTTTATAAGGAAAATGTAAGAAAACGGAGTGTTAAGCACCTTGGGTACATGAAAAAGGATCTTGCCTGCAAACTTGTACAAGTGAAGATGTTATTTAAATCTTACTGACCATTTTGACTGATCACTCCACCTCCAGGTTCTTCCAGAATGCCTTTTGTTCCTAAATATGACCCTGAAAAAGACTGAGCATTGTATTGTTCAGATGTTCTCACTTTCTGTGACTGGTACCACTGACACTAGGTCTGATTCTTATCAATAACTATTTGTCTGTATAATTCGGTTTTAAATAGAAATTTTTCTTGCTGTTGATGCCCCAGTCCTTGACACATTTTCTGTTTTCATTTGTAGATGTCCCACAAAATTAACAGAATGCTATCATTGCATAATGGGGGGTGACTAATACATTCCTTTTTAACTCACCAGAGAGCCTGCTGCTTGCTCTTTATTTTGTGTTTTCATACAAAGTCTATGCCATTCATCGTCTGACAGCTTTTCAGAAATTAAATTCTAGGACTGTCTTGTTTTCCTCTTTGTAGATCTCTGGATCTCTGGGTTTTCTGTTCTGATAAGTTTCTATGTTATGTTCTCGTTTCTATTAGATACCAATTTACTTTTTACTTTAATTTACTTAATTTTACTTTGCTCTGTACCGTGTATGAGCAGATAGCCCTGTAAATCTCTTACACCTTTTCCCTGGTTAGAAACTAACTTTTAGTACTTACACTTATCTAATTGCATATGCTTCTCTTCAGGTAAGGCGGAAAAACTGAGACAATAGAGGAACAATAGGGCTTTATGTCCTTCTTTGTAGAAAAATAGAATTAACTTTACTTCTTGGTTGTTTTTGTAAAAAAAACCCAAAAAATCTGCTGAACTCACAGAACCCTTCATATTTCAGGTTACATTCTCTTCTTACACAGAAAAGAAATGCACTTGCAGTGTATTTTTATAGAGTGGTCACTAGTGATTAGTTTAATTAATATCCTGGGGATATATTCCATTAAGTGGCTGCTTTCTCTGTTTTAAGGTGATGTTTAGAATGTGACAAAATACTGTATGTATAACTTAACTGTATTCTCTTCTGTAAGCTTTTACTTGCCTCTTCCACTTTTTATTTTCTATCCATTTTTGCCCTCTCATGTATGGTTCGTTCTAAAATCTGGACTTAATCTTAGTACTAGTGAACAAGCTTAAGATTTTTTTCAGTCTGAAACGTTCAACCTAGAATTCTTTGAGAAGAAATTCAAGAGCAGGTAAACTTAAATCTTGTGACATCCCCTGTTACAGCTAATAAATACTCATGGATTAAAATTTAACCATTTAAGTAAATATGAATTTTAGATTTCTCTGCCTACATGCTGATGCTGTTCGAGAGCTGGAATTGGAGAAGTACTCCACTGCTCTAGCAGTGTACTGCTGCTCTGAATTCTCTTACGAGGAGCTAGGATACTGCTGAGGCCAGAATTTGACAAGATTTGAAATTAAATGGGACTTTGAAGTATGTGAGTAAGAAATGCTGAGCTATATGGCTTAGTGCTAACATCCATTTTGAAAGAGCTATTGAATCTTATTCAAAGTTGTTTCAAGCCACTCCCATGTGAGGAGTCTGGGAGGAGACCATTATCCCATTTGCCTGGTTTTTGGAGCATCTACTGAAGCCTTTAACATTCAAGAACACCAGATTTAGGTGAAGCAGAGCTCAAATTCCACATGGAAATTACTGTGCTCCTATGATTTAGTTAAAATGATCTGTCAGAAGTGAGATACTGTTTACATATTAAGTACAGCACAGAAGCTGAAGAAAACCCTGGTGACGCTTATTAGCTAATCATTTCATGTCAGACAGGAATGTCAAGGCAAAGCATGCATTCCTAATACAAAACG